ATTAAACACACACTCATCACCTCTCCACCTTATAGGGCACAACTAAAATAACATACCAGCAACTTTACCGGACGGTGTGGAGGAAGGCCCTGACCCAGATCCTGGCTTCCTCCTTCCCCACACACATTGTTATAGATGGATCTTGACCAATAACCATCTAGGGGGTCACTATGCACCACTGGTAGCAGCTCGCTATATCAACAAGGGACTGACGCCCTGGAGGATTACCTTCAGGCTCCCTATAGTGAAAGTGACTTTGAACCTCACCAGAGGACAAGCAGTCCTCCAGAGAAGCCAACACAGTCAATGACAAACACAACGGAGAACAGCTCAACGGAAGTCAATTTATATTGGACTGGCTTTTCCAATAAGAGCCAAGACAAACTAATATTACAATGGATCTTCAAGAAGCATTATGCCAATTATGGCCAATGCTATATTCTTGTGCAGGCGATGAGTCACAATAATGTGGCTAAAGTATGATGACCAGACCACACACTAGAAGGTGAAGGAACGACGACGTTTCGGTCCGTCCTGGACCATTCTCAAGTCGATGAGAATGTCACTAGTCGACTTGAGAATGGTCCAGGACGGACCGAAACGTCGTCGTCCCTTCACCTTCTAGTGTGTGGTCTGGTCATCGCTATATTCTTATTTTTATAAATTGCTGTGTTTTAGTATAGAACAGGTTTTAAGGGAGCGCAGCAGGAACATTAGTGCATAATTTTCCAGAGAGGACTGTTGCCACCCTGTCACTTAGAGCAAATTTATTTATATTTTTGTATAAAAAACTACATATTCGTCCCTAGCATTGTGTTCATTACAAAATAGTACTAATTGTGTGTGTAAATAGTGTATTAAATTATAGATTAATATGCAAGGGGAGAGATTTAATAAGGGGGGGAGATTTTGGCTGGACCTGTTGCCTTCAACGCATCCAGCTCCTCTAATTGTTTCATTCTGGAGTGGAGGAGAGGGAGAGTGGGCATGCGTGAGGGAGAGGGATGGAGTGGAACATTGATTGATTGATGAAGATTAAGCCACCCAAAAGGTGGCACGGGTATGAATAGCCCGTAAGTGGTGGCCCTTTTGAGCCATTACCAGTATCAAGAGCTGATACTGGAGATCTGTGGAGGTGGAACTGCACCCTGCATGACGGGAGATGTCTCCCGGGAATGTGTAAGGGAGTGGAACAAGGGCACGGCCACTTGTGAACACAACTTTTCCAGTAAAATACAAGGAAAGGGAAGAGAGCTATCTGGATAACGCGCCAGGTCATTACGACAATATAGCACTGGGAAGGGGTCAGGATATGGATTTGGAATGGGACGGGGGGAAAGGAATTGTGCCCAACCACTTGTTGACGGTCGGGGATTGACCGCCGACCTGCATAAATCGAGGCCGTCGCTCTACCGTCCAGTCCAGGATAAAAAAAAAAAACAGTCAAATTGTTCATCAGTTTGAAGAACAGTACAAGATAAAGGTAATACACGGAGCAGAAGTAGATAATTGTAGCCAGGAAGATTATCTAGCGGCGGCTGACACAAAGTTATGGTGAGTGTGGACCATGTACAGGGAAAATTTAACATTTAAAATACATAGCAAGGGACAAAATACATACCCAGGGACAAAATACATAGCAAGGGACAAAATACATAGCAAGGGACAAAATACATAGCAAGGGACAAAATACATAGCAAGGGACAAAATTAGATATACCTAACATGCTTACAAGGTAATAAATGTAATACAGTATCAAGGCTTAAATTATGTTTATAATACCCTAGAATAATATGAAAGCTTAAACTAGTATACAAATAAAATAATACTCAGCGATGGTATAAAATTTAGTATAAGTTATTATAGATACGTGTACATTAGGCTTGCTAAAGCTGTTATTCCTATATATCCTTCACATCTAACATAGGCTCAGACAAGAAGTGAACACAACACCATATTAGTTGTTCTATGGATCCTTAAAGTTATAGATTGCAATTGCACAATCTTGTGTTAGACCTATATAAAATGTTACTTAAGATTACTTAGAGAATCCAAGTGTTCGGTACGTTTTGAAGATGGAGAGGCAGTTTGTGTAATGGTTTTCCATTGTCAGAGACAAAAAGCCTATAAGCAGTCATTATGTTCTGCAAAATTTGGCTCAGTAGGCACAGCTTGCAACACGTGTACCCATAGTGCAGCTCCTCTCAAACGATTTAATTTAAAACAATGAATTTATAATTGTCAAACAGGATAAGGAAGCCTACTGGATAAGTAAACCTGGTTTATTTTTGATGAGTGCGAAGTCAAGGACTAAAAGAGAGCAATGTGTGTTTCAACATTCATTTTCGTGTTTCGAGTGCGTGGTTGGTTAAGGGCGATTGCTTCAAGACAACTACGGGTGCCCCCGTAACCAGGGTGTGGGTGAGCGCCGGTGTACAGACATGACCCCCGTGGAAAAAGAGTGAGTCACGCCAGGCGTGTTGATAAAGTTGTGGTCGCACAGGTAAACATTGGCGGGTGGTGAGCGCGCATGGCGGCTACAGTGTGAGGTGTTCCAGGTTGGGACTCCTCTTTCTCCATACTTTATATTAACTCCTCTTCATACTCCTATCTTATTAATAAGGTGAGCTTTAACCACAGGGTAACAAGTTACAGCCCCGCTCCTGTGCCAGGTAAGTCTACTACGGGCTCACCATAGAGTCCTCCTGCCTTGTCCTCGTGTCCCAGCTCCTGCCTTGTCCTCGTGTTCCAGCTCCTGCCTTGTCCTCGTGTTCCAGCTCCTGCCTTGTCCTCGTGTTCCAGCTCCTGCCTTGTCCTCGTGTTCCAGCTCCTGCCTTGTCCTCGTGTTCCAGCGCCTGCCTTGTCCTCGTGTTCCAGCGCCTGCCTTGTCCTCGTGTCCCAGCGCCTGCCTTGTCCTCGTGTCCCAGCGCCTGCCTTGTCCTAGTGTCCCAGCGCCTGCCTTGTCCTCGTGTCCCAGCGCCTGCCTTGTCCTCGTGTCCCAGCGCCTGCCTTGTCCTTGTGTCCCAGCGCCTGCCTTGTCCTCGTGTTCCAGCTCCTGCCTTGTCCTCGTGTCCCAGCGCCTGCCTTGTCCTCGTGTCCCTTCCATGTACCATACATAGATAGGCTTAGCGCTTTCTCCTGACAATTAATTATCCTTACACATAGGCTAACAATGTTCTTTATACCTGCCAAGTTACAGTGCTCACCTGTAATACAGTTTCCTTACTTATAAAGTACTGGTACGCTTCATAGTAACAATGTACACAATACTGTATAATACCGTACCATATAACACGTGCTAAATGCTACACCAAGCATGCGATGAATGACTTCACGTGGCACGTAAATTAATGACTTTACATCAGCTGTGTGATGTAAAGTCAGCTGTGTGATTACATCAGCTGTGTGTAAAGCTTACGACTTGCAAATAGCGTAATAAAGACACTCTCGTAAGTTGCTGTACACCATACAGGCAAGGATACTTAACTGTAGGCGTTACGATGTGGTAATGTGGTAGGGCAACTAGGTAATTGTGTCCGTGCAAGCCATAATTAACGCCTACCTGACTCTGATTCCTGGAAAGGGATGATGCAACTATCACTCATCCGTCACATCTTCCACATACAGGTGTGTAAACCTCCCCCCCCCCCCCACACCAGCTTGGGACGTCAGGTATGTGTACATATATACCGTCCATCCTCTCCCAGCAAACACAACGTAACCGCAATATTATTAGAGTGTTACAACATAACGAATAATGCTGCGGTTACGATGTGTTTGTTGGGCTGGGACTGGCGTTGTGTTGTCATGCTGGCCAAACACCCTCACGCTAGTTCCAAATGCCTCCCAGTTTACTTAAGCGTCCGAATTTCAGCTTGAAACTCTGCAGTTCATACGTACACATATACGTACACCCGGCTACATGTACACAACAGCTCTAGACTAGACTTCCACATGCACAAATCTGCGAACAGTTATTTGCATTTCCTGGATAAACCAATGTGTCTCGAAGCATAGAACTGACAGACAACATGCGCACATTACAAATATATATTACTATTAACTTTGCACAAAACATAGCCGGACCTTATATCGTTGGGTTTAGGGCATAATTTGATACTGTGACTTCATAAATCTAGGTTTTACCGTAATCAGTTCACACAGACGATTGGTGTAAAATTATTCCCGAATTTATACGTTTCGTGAAAAATGGGGAATCTGCGAAGTCACTAAACGTAGCACTGTTTGCCCAGTTCATTAAATATTTATTTTCACTTGTTTTTGGTAGTAATGTTTTTGTTCGGAACAACGTGAGAGAGAAGCGTATGCGACAATTTCAGTAGTTGTCAATGGAGTATTTTCTTATACCCCATGTGCAGGCGATGAGTCACAATAACGTGGCTAAAGTATGTTGACCAGACCACACACTAGAAGGTGAAGGGACGACGACGTTTCGGTCCGTCCTGGACCATTCTCAATCGACTTGAGAATGGTCCAGGACGGACCGAAACGTCGTCGTCCCTTCACCTTCTATTGTATGGTCTTATACCCCATGTTATAAGGCCTTTTCTTATATAAAGCATGACTCAATGACCCAAAATTAAGAGCATAGTGTATACCTGTGAGGGTTTCTGTTCAGCCGCTGGTATTCAACCTAATGTCTATGTCAAGTTTGTTATTGTGGTGAGAGGGGCAGCAGGGTATTTTATTGTTATTGTTAGATAGATCTATTTCTAATAATACACAGAAACTAACGACTGGTGGCGCTGTCTGTAATATCATCAAGTGTATTTTTCGCGTCGAAATGCACATATTAAATTATGTTGCGTTACCTAGCAATTAAATAGCTCAGCGCCCCGTGAAGCTTGATACGAAGCTGTACTTTATGACGGGGTGAAGCTTACTTTAAGCTGGCCTGGTCGACGACCGGGCCGCGGGGACGCTAAGCCCCAAAAACACCTGAAGGTAAGTCAGGCTTTATAATGTAAGTGTCTACTTACCTGATTTACCAACTCCTTTGTCGCCAATGATGACAATGTTAGTGTTGGTGAGAGTGTTGCTGGAGGACAGGGCGCGGCTGGCAGTGTTGCTGCTGTTCTTACTGTTCCTCTTCCCAAAGGTGAAGCTGCTGCTGAAAACGTTGCCTCGCAGAAACAGGCTCCGGAGGCTTTTAGAGCTGTTGGTACTACTGCTGCTGGTCTTACTATCGCAGCTACTATTGCTGCTGAGGCTGTTTGTCTTGGTATTTAGGCTATTGGTCTTCAAGCTAAGACTCGCAGTCTTTGCATTCAGGCTGGTAGTTTTACCTTCAATGATATTGGCCTTTAAGCTAAGGCTGCTGGACTTAATGCTGAAGTTCTTGTTCTTTGTCTTCCCATCGAGGATTTTGTTTTTCAAACCAATGCCTTTGACCTTTTTATTGATAATGAACTTGGTGTTTCCGGTGGTGACCTTGGAGTGAGGAGCGGCCGGCCCCGCGCTGGACCGGGAGACGCCCCAAGCGCCAACTCCAGACAACATTAATCCATCGCAATTTCGGCGCTTTTTCTTGCCTTGATACTGGTTCTCAGTCTTGAGAGTGGGTAGTATGTCTCCTCGAGTGCTGTTGCTGCTGCTGCTGCTTTTATCTGAAGCACTGCTGCTCATGTTATTGGTACTTATAAAGGGGTTGTTAGCATTGGTTCTGGAAGTGCTGCTACTGCTGTTTTCTGATGTGATTGTGTTATTAGTGCTGGAAGTACCGCTACTGCTGCTGCTGCTGTTGCAGCCATCAAAATCACTACTGACGGTGCAAGTGGTGCTTGTGGAGTCTGAGGAGGTGGTACTGATTGACCGCCCTCGTGAGGCGCTGCCAGGCCGGGGACTCATACTCCTGCAATGATCTTCACAACCCAACACATGGGAGCACTCAGTGTTATCGCCGTGTGCGGAGTGTGTGTGGGAGGGGAGGAGTGCACTCTTGGAGGGTGTGTATATGGTGGGGGGCTGCCCCTTCACGGCTTCCTCATCTCTCTCAGGCTCCCACTGTAAATGTTGGTCTTTATCACACTGCTCACAACTTCTCTCACTGACCTCTTCCCTGCTACCTGGCCGGTAGTTGCCAGTCTTCATTGCTAGACCATTCTTCAGTGTCAGCGGAGGTGTGGTCACCACTGACAGTTTTAATTTCATATTGACTGAGCGATAGTTTATATGATTTTTTCTTCAAATTGCTTAATTACTTTATTACTTATAATAGGCCAACACACCTTGCATGGCACAGTAGTACAGTGCAATTGTGTTAAACATTCTTGAGAGGCGTTATCGTGCCCGACATGTCATTGGATTCATGAACCACTGGTCTCTGATTTAGCAGATCAAGTCAAGTAACTTTTATCAAATTAAATTCAACGTCTTTTCTTTACATTTCATGATTTCCTTTTTGTCAAATATATCCCAGACATTTGAAGACACTGTAATCGTACTAATTTAAACACTGTCACCGGTTGTCATCCAGTGTCTGGACAAAAAGTAATTGATCATGTGAAGGGAGTGAGCCAGCAGGTCCTCCCCGCTGCCTACCTACTAAGCAACTGATGATGTCTCGACCTACCACCACTCGCAACCTTCCTGACCCCTAACAGGTGCCAGGTTTCCCTTTTTCCCAGTTTCTAGAGACACTTTACTCTCAATAGCTAACGTAGTACGCAGTAAATAGGAGATTGAAAATATATATGATGCGTATGTACAAAGTAAATAACATGTAAATTGAGCAAGTTATACGGGTTTATATGGTAAAAAAAGGGAAAACGCGAGTGGTCAATATTACAAACCGCCCTCCGCGGGAGAGTTGCTAAATGTTGATGGCTTGGGAAATTACGTAGCATCATTATTTTCTTAAGCAAGAGTGTACGAGATCTCGAATAGCTGAACTTTTTTTCCTGCAAGTAGTTGATACCGGGCAGTTAACTCACTGAATGGAAATATATAAATTATAGGGACAATTTTAAGGCATTGCATCTGTTGCAAGATGCAGACGGAAAAACGGAAACCTGATGCAAATTGTTTCCAGTCTGGCAAGAGGCTGGCCAGCGATGTTGAAGTGAACAATGGCAGGAGTTTAAACACCTCGCCAAGATGCTCTCAATCTCAACTCTAGCAACAATAAAACCCCTGTCCCGGTAGCTGGCTACATTACCTCCCGTGAAAAGATCTAATCACATACTACAAAGCGCCGTTAATATAGGACAGATTGTCAAGTGCTGATAACATTAATTCATTCTGAAGCCCCGACAAGCCCTCGGCTTGTTGGCCAAGAGCGGTTATGGGTGGGGTGGGGAGGGTTGTGGATGAGATAATGGCGGTCATAGGTGGGGAGGGTTGTGAATATTGGAGTAATGGAGGTTATTAAAGTGTGGCGGTGGGGGAGATTTGTGTTGTGGGGTGATGTGGCAGGGCGTGAGGATATGGCGTCCGTGGATAGGGTTGTTTGGCATTGAATAGATGGGTGTGGCAACGACATGTAGAGAGGTGGATGAAGATGTATTGGCAGGTGGAAGCCGTGACGGATGTAGTGGAGAGCTAGCGCCGAGTACCATAGGAGTGGTCAGGGGAGGGGTGTGAGAGCCCTGTCTGGACACTCATAAAAATAGTGAGGGAGGTGAGTAGCGGTAATGGCGTTAATGGTGATGGCGGCGGCCAGATAGTGGCGACGCATCGATGCTTCGCTGTTTGACTCCCGAGGGTAATAATGGCTGGGTGAGGCTACCCGTCTCCACACACACACACACCACTACTGCCGCCTGGGGGTACAGGGTACTGTCCCAGCAGCCCCAGTACCCTGTACCCACCCGACAAGATCACCCTAATGCCTACCCAGTCATTAATTATATTCAAATTCAAAATTTAAAATTCAAAATTCAAAATTAAAAATGTTTATTCAGGTAAAAGTACATATCCAGAAGATGAGTTACAAACATAATGCTGGATATATATATAGTTGTATAATTCCTCTAAAGTTAGGTTATATAATTTGTAGGTGAAAGTTGTGACATGTTTATTGTATATTGCTTTATTGTTTATTGAAGCCTACTAGTCTGCAAAAATCGGCTCATAATCGAATGTACCGGGGTTCGATTCTTGGATAGGATAAGAAATTTGGGCACGTTTTCTTACACCTGTTCCCTCTGTTCACCCAGAACTAACACAATATACTCGATAGACAACTGTTGTGGACTGTATCTGACGTAGGTTAATCATTGCCTAAAAGGCGGGAAGGAGTAATTACCCTTTTATGCATATGCATACGAGGCAATTAACAAGAGGATATGAGGACAAATATGATGTCTATTTGGGCAAGACGTACTCATTAAAAATCACTGATATTCCAGAGCGGAATATCGGAGATTTCAATGAGTACGTAGAAAGGGATCCAGTACTACGCCTGAACCAACTCTTGGCCAGACCGCTTTTACCACAGTTATCGCTGTTATGAACATATACGCTCTTACTCCCCACCATCACCAACTCTTCGTAATTTAGGGAGGACCTCAATGAAAACCAGACACCCTCTTAACACCATACCCATCATCGCCACACCCTCAGAGTACCACACCCAGCACCACACCCTCACAGTACCACACCCAGCACCACACCCTCACAGTACCACACCCAGCACCACACCCTCACACCACCACACCCAGCACCACACCCTCACACCACCACTCCCACTACCACCGCCAACCTGTTACAACCATGAGCCAAGATAACAGTAGGTTATATACCGTGGTCTGGACCAACATAGCGCCTTACACCACTATTGTACTAGATATCCATATATCGTGCCGTCTCTAATAACGCCTCTGCAAGTACGACCAAATTCTTGGCAACGAAGAATTCGTTTATTTTAATTTTAGCAGTGATCATTAAAGGTTGTTATAACTGCCGTCACGTTGTGTAACGATCTGCCTCCATCTGTTTCAGCATAAACTAGCCGTGTTGTTGTTGTTAATGATTCACTACTTGGAACAAAAAAGTTCTAAGTAGCACGGGCTATGGTGAGCCCGTAGTGGACTTTTTTTTTTAACTAGCCGCGTTAAGGGTTCAGCGTGTTACCATTACAGCAGGTCAGGGTAATTACGCTCTGACGATGGCTTTGGTCTTGGGCTTAAGGCCTATCAACCTCCGGAGGGTTATTATGACGCCACCACAACAGTTTACTGATTCATCAGCAAGTAAACTTTAGTTCCGAACACAGTCCAGGCTTAAAGTAAACTCTCAGTGTGTATATATTGAGAAGTGGGATATACAGCACACTGGACTTGTGATCCTGTGGTCCCGGGTTCGATCCCGGGCGCCGGCGAGAAACAATGGGCAGAGTTTCTTTCACCCTATGCCCCTGTTACCTAGCAGTGAAATAGGTACCTGGGTGTTAGTCAGCTGTCACGGGCTGCTTCCTGGGGGTTAGAGGGCTGGTCGAGGACCGGGCCACGGGGTCACTAAAGCCCCGAAATCATCTCAAGATAACCTACCTCTCGGGGAACATACATGGAGAAATAGGGTATTCCTCCGTGTGTATATATATTCCTTGTATAGTAGGCTAGGCCGTATTAGGGCGAGGGGTAGTAAGATAACATTAAAACTTCTTCTTGGGTTAGGCTATGTTTGCTTACCTCAAATAAACGGGAAGACAAATTATATCTTTGTTTTAATAATTTTTATTTCACATTATTTTTATTCTGTTATTTTTTGCCGTCAGTGACGTTAGGTCAGATTTACCTGAATTTAAATGTAAAAGAAATCCTACACTGCATAATGATGAGGAATCATTATTCTTAAATGACTAGAAAACCATGGCGGCTACTAACATATTCCGGTAATTGTTGTGTGTGGTTCTGTAGGTGGTAACAACGTGTCTCTCTCAAGCTTTATCTCTTCTCTCTTATCTTTATCCCCTCCTCTTCTCGCACTGTTCCTTACGCTGTCTCTTTCTCTTATTCTGTTCTCAGTCTCACAAAATCTCAATCACTCTCTCTCTCTCTCACTTTCTCATTCTCTCTCTCTCTCTCTCTCTCTCTCTCTCTCTCTCTCTCTCTCTCTCTCTCTCTCTCTCTCTCTCTCTCTCTCTCTCTCTCTCTCTCTCTCTCTCTCTCTCTCTCTCTCTCTCTCTCTCTCTCTCTGTTCAGAAACCGTCTTCAGAAATTAATATAAATGAAGATGTATCAAGCTTTCTTCCGTACAGGCTAGCTGAAGGTTGGCCTTCAATTACATAATTACGTGGATGTGAATATTATGGAAAGCTTATTTATAACATTCATCAGAGTATAGTTGAAATATGCAGCAGTGGTATGGTTACCTTTCCTGAACAAACTTATCAACAAGTTACGAAGAAAGCGTTTGCTGCCATCAAACAGTGCAAGAACTAAAAGATAGAAGTTATACTGAGAGATTAAAAATTCCAGTTTACCTCTTGAAAGTGGAAGGAAAATGTTAAAATAATAACTTAAATGTTTCATGGCGTATGGAAATATGAGAAAGGATAATATAATTATGTTGAGACCTAAATAGAACCAAACAACACGCTTCAACTGGAAGCAAAACAAGCTAGAGGTATGTGAGCAAGTATTTCTTCTCAAGAGTTGTGTACTGATCGAATGTCACACTTAATACTCTGATGTACTGATGGAATGCCAATGCACTTTCAGGAGGAAGTTGTGTGCATTTTTAAAGAGTAAATACATTCATTAGACGAAGTAGACAGGGCACCAGGAGCTGAAGCTCTCTCATGTAAAATACACTTAGTAATCACACACATTAAGTAGGAATGAAGTTACAGGAATAGCACCCCAGTATTCTATACAAGCTAGTGTTGACATAGTTTGGTATTATAGATTTTGAAAAGGTTTTGCATTGCCATAGCATCATTTATCGTAAGTCAAACCTGCATCATCCCAATAGCGCTACTATCGTCCATAATCTTTATGTGATAGCTTTCAAACTTCCCACTTTTAGTGTTTTGTAAGTTTATGCATTTTGTTGTTGAAGTATTTATGTAGCAAGTTAAGCTGATGATCCAAGTAACAGAGGAACAGCCAATATGGGGGTAATGATCATACAATATACGGTGTATACATCTGAAATACATTTAAGGTGTATTTCCGTGAAGGGAGGTTTGCTATACACACAGGTCTGGTATGCTGGGGTCAGTGACGGCGCCTTTGTCAGTAGTGACGCGCCCACTGAACTATTCCGTCTTATCACTGTTTACTCTTCCGTGAAAGAAACGAACAAGGTGTGAAAGTTGAAAATAAACGAGGACAACGAATATTATATTTCAATATGGAAACACTTTTTCTAATATTTGTATCACTGTAATCCATAAAACAGAAGAGGCATATCAATTGATTATGGATAGTCAGCCAATTTGAACTGCGTGTAGTAGATGCATCTAATTCAAATTCAAATTTGTATTCAGGAAAAGTACACACAGAGATGATGAGTTACAAACATAATGTTGGATGTAAAGATAGAGCTAGAACATACAATACCTAAAGCCACTATTACGCATAGCGT